CTCATGGTTTGCGAAATCATGTTCTCGTTGCCTTTGCAGATTCGGCTCGTTATGCTTGCGATGATCCCGAAGGCCCTTGGTGGGCTGAGGCCGATTGGAATTTTCACGGCCCCCTACCGCATCTGGGGCAAAATACGCCGGTTCGTGGCCTTGGAGTGGGAAGAGGCTCACCTCCAGTCCTTCTCCGCCGGGTACGGCTTCAAGAGCGCGTCGGACGTGGTCTGGCGCCAAGCATTGGCCAGCGAGCAGGTTCATTCCTCAGGCCTCATGGCCGCCAGCCTGCGGTGGGACATGTACAAGTTCTATGAGCTGATCGACCTCGAATCGCTCATGCAGAAGTGTATCGACCATGGATTCTCGGTTGTTGTCGCTAGGCTGTGCATTGGAACTTATCGATCAGCTCGATTTATCAATCTTGCTGGTTTCCTAGCAGGGCCTTTCATAGGGGCCCTCCGTGGTGTCATTGCAGGCTGCAGTATGGCTACCACCTTCGTGCGCATTTTTTACATGGAGGCTCAAGGATCCCACTTCACCCTGTTTTTCAGCTCGACCTATGTATCGACGACATTGGTCTGGCTGCTCGTGGGACGCTTTCGCAGGTCTTGGAAGGTTTGAAGTCTGGGGCGGTTGCAGTGTATCGGGCCATCACCGTGGATTTAGGCCTCACGATCTCTCCAGACACGGCCGGTTGATCGCTAGCTGCCATCGACTCGGACGTCTCCTGGAGCAGTGGCTTGGAAAGGTATCTGGGAAAGGTTTCACGGGTTCTGCCACCAATTTAGGCATCGATGATACTGCTGGCCGCCCGCTCCGAGTTCGTGGTAGAGCTGTCAGGCGTAAGAAGCGGACAGCTCACCTTCGTTCGCGTGTTCGCCGCATTGTACGTCAGCGCAAGTTTCCTGGAGCGTCCGCTCGGCGGATCTTTGCGAGTGGGCACCTGCCGGGCATCACTCATGGGGCGGAAGTGCACGGGGCCAGTGACAGGGAGTTGGAGTTTCTCAGGGTGCAGGCGGGGAAATGCACGCGTTCTTCAGCTGGAGGGAGGTCGCTTACTGCGACGTTGATCTGTGGCGACGTTCCATGCTGGTATACACCTGTTGCTCTTATTCTGCGCTGGAGCAAAGAAATATGGGCAGGTCAGTGCCATGCCTTCCTGTATGCTACTCCGCTCCCTGACTCGAGGAAAGCCTGGGCCACTATCTTCGAGCACCCCAACAGGCAACCTGCGAAATGGAGTGCGGTGTGTGGCCCTGTTGGGGCCCTGCTCCTTTCCGTTAGAAGACTTGGGTGGACTATGCCAGGCTTTGCTGTGCTTCGTGACCACACCTGTGTCGATGTCGTGCTCACTTTCATCCGCCCCCAGCTCCTCAAGGGTATCCTCCAGAAGGCCATCATCCGGCTCCTCGAGGCCTCGGCGGCGAACACGATTGGGGGACAGGATGGGGCAGGGCTTGCTTTGATATTGTGAAGGCCCAGGCTAAGTCGAGCAAGTATTCGCCTCTGGAGCGCGGCTCCATCCGATGCTTGGCGTGCGACGGCTGCTGGACAGCTGAGCGAGCGGCCAGACTCGGGTGCCAGGTGACGGTGCAGCAGCAGCTCTGCCCGCTTTGCGGCAAGGCGAAGGACTCCATTTTTCATTGGTTGTGGCAGTGCGAATCTTGCGCTGATGAGCGAGCTGCACTTGCGGGCCGAATCCGAGGGCGATCTCTCCCCCTCCGACCTTGTGTTTTTCACTCGGGGCATCTTTGACCACCCCGAGTCGTTCTGGCCCAACCTTCATTCGGTCGATGGCCGGGTGATCAGATCGAACAACTACCCTGAAGGGGCGATGGGGACCTGCAAGGGAGCCTGTTTGTGGACGGGTCGTTTTTCAAGCATCCGATTGCTGATTTGGGGCGTGCAGGCTGGAGCGTGTGCCAGCTTACGGAGGATGGGGAGCTGTTTTGTTCCGTCCTCGGCCCAGTGCACCACCCGTTTCCGCAGTCGGCCCCTGCTGTTGAGTTCTCAGCGTTCGGGATGGCTGCGCTCCAGGTTGTTGGAGACAGCCACGTTTACTCTGACTATGCCGCTGTGGTGGGACACCACAGCCTACCACCTTCTCAGCGGCTTTCGTACAAGCGCAATTATTCAAGGATCTGTCAACATGTCAATCCTGTGTCTCGCCTCGAGTCGCTCACGAAAGTTCGCGCTCACCTCTCGGCTGACGACCCTGATTTGTCGCCAGAGGAGCTGTTCAGGAGGAAGGGCAATGATCACGCTGACAAAGCTGCGCGTGAAGGTGCCCTGCTCCACCCTCAGGCCTCGTCGGAGGGGCACGAAGCCGTTGACAGACTGGTGCGAATCTTTTTAAAACTGTGTGCAGGCTAGCCGCCAAGCTGCTTCCGAAGTGGTCGAGACTAGATTTGAATGGAGTTGAGTTCGAGGCGCCACCCAGAGCACCCAAAGAGGTGCAGCCAGTGCAACAGCACGATTGGCAAAGGTTCGGAAATGTCTGGCGGTGCACTGCGTGTAGGAAGGAGGTCGGTAGCGAGGCCTGAGCCAGGGAGGTGTGCTGGGCCCCGCCAGCATGATATGGACGCGGCTGAGTCTAACGGTCACAAGCCGGCGCACGTGTCGGACGGCTCCGATTGTTACCTGTGTCTGAACTGCGGGGCGTTCTTTTGCCAGGGAGCGCCAGTGAAGAGCAACTTTGCTGGCAGGTGCCTCACGGAGCTCAGCAGACACGGCAAAACCAATTTCAACACGATCTCGTCAGGCTTCAATCCCAGAGACAAGCATCTGAGGATTGTTGATACGCCTGTGGTGCCAGCGTTTGCCCCTGGGCTTGATCCTGGCGACAGTCTCGAGGCCAGTGCAGGGCCGCCCTCTCCCGACGCTGTCCCTGCACTTCAGAATGTCGCTTCGGCACTCAGGCGGGAGGCCGCCGCGTCGAGCGGCCAGAATTCCCACAGCAGACCTGAAGGTTCAGAGTCTGGCTCCGATTATACAGGTCTGTTATTTCTCCAACGACTTTGCGCTTCACAGATCCGTTTGAATTCGTGGTTGGCGCGTAAATCGTCTTCGCCCCCCCCCCCCAAAGAATCCTTGGGGGGGGGTCCTGAAACACATGTTTAAGGCTTCTGGAAGCGCAGGTTGGCTGCTACAGGCCGAGCAATCAGGCAATCTGTTTTTTGTCAGCAGCGCCAAGGAGCGCCCTCTGGGTTTCGCCCCCCGCACTTGTATCGTGGCAGCTGTCCGTTGATGCTAATCGCGTGGCCCACCCCAGTACCGAAAAGGGTGGCGGGGACGCGTGCGAACGGCTCCAGTGGGGCCTCACGTGGAGCTCCCTAGTGTGGGCCATGAAGCGGGTGACGGGTGTGCCGACATGGGCGGTGGGGGCGCATGCGGTTGGAATTTCGCGCACGGCGGCCACGCCCAATTCCTGATCGTCCCAAAGAGAAGCGGCCCCCAGGAACAATTGGCCGCTCACAAACTCGGGGATTCCATCAGGGGCCTTATGTTTGCAATCCCACAATTGTTGTACCGATCCTGGGCAGTCCAATCGCACATTCATACCAGACCAGGGTCGCATGCGCCCCCACCACCCATGTTGGCACACCGGTCACCCTTTCGTGGCCCAGGCTAGGCAGTTCCACGTAAGGCCCCAGTGGAGCCATCGCATGCGTCCCCGCCACCCTTTTCGGCACGGGAGGGGCCACGCGAGGAGGAAAACGAGGAGGAGGACGAGGAGGAGGAAGAGAAACAGGAGGAGGAGGAGGAGGTGGAGGAGGAGGAGGAGGAGGGGGAGGAGGAGGAGGAGGAGGAGGAAGAGAAGGAGGAGGGGGAGGAGGAGGAGAAGGAGAAGGAGGAGGATGTGGCGCAGCGAGAAAGAGGAGGAGGAGGAGGAGGAGGAGGAGGAGAGGAGGAGGAGGAGGAGGAGGAGGGAGGAGGGAGGAGGAGGAGGAGGAGGAGGAGGAGGAGGAAGAGGAGGAGGAGCAGGAGCAGGAGCAGGAGCAGGAGGAGGAGGAGGAGGAGGAGGAGGAGGAGCAGAGCAGGAGCAGGAGCAGGAGCAGGAGCAGTAGGAGGAGGAGGAGGAGGAGGAGGAGGAGGAGGAGGAGGAGGAGGAGGAGGAAGAGGAGGAGGAACAGGAGCAGGAGGAGGAGGAGAGGAGGAGGAGGAGGAGGAAACAGGAGGAGAAAAAGGAGGAGCAGGAGGAAGAGGATGAGGAGGAGGAGGAGGGGGAAGGGGGGTAAGGAGGAGGAGGAGCAGGAGGAGGAACACGACGAGGAGGAGAAGGGCGAGGAGGAGGACGAGGAGGAGGAGGAGGAGGAGGAGGAGGAGGAGGAGGGGGAGGACGAGGAGCAGGAGCAGGAGCAGGAGCAGGAGGAGGAGGAGGAGGAGGAGGAGGAGGGAACGGAACAAGATGAGGAGCGGGAAGAGGAGGAGGAAGGAATAGTCGGGGACACACCCTTTCTGGGGTTCGCCATCGACGCGGGGCATCGCCGTCGCTTGGCCCTCAGATCCAGGCGGCACAGGAGAACGTAGCGACAGCCCCGCGCCTGTCGGGGGTGGAACCCCCCTGCGTTCTGCGTCCCAAGGATTGGCCCAGCACGTATTTGAGCTTGTACATGAACGACATTTCCGCTCGTTATGTTTCCAATGCGTATCGACGAAAAACGCCCAATAGCGCCCAATAGCGCCCAGGAGCTGGAGGAGGGAAGCAGGAGGGGGCGCAGGATGAGAAGGATAATGTTGAGGGGCTGCTAATTTCTGAGGGTGTCGTGGGGCTCTGGGCTTTGAGTACTTGTCTGCGTCCTGCATTAACTCTGCCATTTCCTCACGCCTCTTCGCCTGGCCTTGTTTTGCTCAGAGGCCCTCGCTCTCCCAGACCTGGCCCTCTCCTCGGGCCACCTCTCCCCTCAGGAGGAGGAGGAGGAGGAGAGGGAGGAAGAGGAGGAGGAAGATGAGGAGGAGGAGCCCCCCTCTCTTCGTTGTCGGCGCGTGCGCGCGCGTTCGCCCGCAGTTCTGGCTCAAGCTGACTCGAGTTCGAGGAAACCTGACCGTCTGCAGGCGCCCGGGTGCCAGGAACAGCAGGAGCCTCTCGCGCGGCTCCCGCGCCCTCCACCATGCACGCGCACGGCCGCTGCGCGGCGCTCGGCGGCGACGCGTGGGTCGTCGGCCTCTCCCTGGGGGCGGGCCACCCAGCAAGGAGCTGTCGGCCGCCCACGCGCCTGCACTTCGTGCTGGACAACAGCGGCAGCATGGGCAGCAATTCGCAGCACGCCCAGGACCGGAGGATAAGGAGGAGGAGGAGGAGGAATAAGAATCGGCACGATCGAAACGGGTACGGAAAGAACGGGCACGATCACCAGCAGCAGCAGTTCCTGCCCATGTTGAGCAGGGCTCGTGGTCGGCGTCGCCGCGGACGTTGTCCATCCGAGGCAGGAGGCCGCCTGCCCAACAGCGGCCGCTGCCAGGTTTGGACAGCACTTGCGTCCGGGCGTCGTGCCCGTTTTTCCGTACCCACCTCGGGCTTCCACAGACATTCGGCACCGCGCAGAGGGGGGTAGGGGGAGGGGGGAAGGCTTCTTAGAAGCACCCCTGCTTCTTAGAAGGCGCGGGCCTTCTCTATAGACGTAAGGCCGAGGCCTTCTAAGTAGCAGGGTGCCTCTAAGAGGCCTTCCCCCCTCCCCCCACCCCCTTTTGCGCGCCGGTGCCAGCTGTGGTCGGGCGAAGAGAACTATGCACATGCACCGATCCTGGCAAGGCCCATCCTCGACCCAGGATCGGTGCATGTGCCTTCCTGGCCAAGGTAGGAGGGCGTGTGCACCGATCCTGGGCTCAGGATGGGCCTGGCCAGAATCGGTGCATGTGCATAGTTGTTTTTCCTCTATGTGGGCTTCTCGCTCCTCTGGGTCTCCGGGGGATGCCCTCGGCGCCGCGGCCGGGCTCGCCCCGCGGCGCCGCTCCGAGCCCGCAGGCCCGGGAGAGATAGAGAGAGAGCCCGGAGAGCCACCGCCGAGGCGCTGCAGCAGCGACCGCTGTTGGGGCTCGGGAGGGGCTTCCCCCTCCTCCTGCTCCTGCTCCTCCTCCTCCTCCTCCTCCTCCTCCTCCTCCTCCTCCTCCTCCTCCTCCTCTCCAATTCCTCCTCCTCCTCCTCCTCTTTTTCCTCCTCCTCCTCCCTCCTCCTCTTCCTCCTCCTCCTCTGCTCCCCGTCGGCGTCGCCCCAAGAGACTAACACAAGGACGCCCTCGAGGGCGCGAAGTTTTGCGCGCTTCGCGCTTCGCGGTTCGGCTCCGATGCCTACTCATCCTCTTCTCCCCTGGGAGGCCGCGCGAGAGCGCGAAGTTATTTGCACTTCGCGCTTCGCGCAGCGCGAAGCGCGAAGTCGGGAGCCCTTGCTAATACTGTGCGTGCGCAGCCGCCCCCCCCCCGGGGGGCGACGCGCGCACCGAGAAATCTTGTAGTCGACGTGTCGTGGCGGGTGCTTTCTGGCCGCACCGCTCGGGAGAAGATCTGCTACAAGATCGGTATACGATCTGTTCGGGTCGGGCGCGCGCTTCCAAGAAGAACCTATATCAGGCGATCGCAAACATGGATCAAGGGGGCGTGGATTAGCGACGGGTCCCGTTTCTATGGGAAATCGCGGACGTCCGCTGCCGAACGAGGCGGCACCTGCCGTATTTTAGGGAGGGCACCTCCCCCGATCCATGGACTTGGCGACCGCGCGCCAAATCCATGGATCGCTTATCCATGTTTGCGCGCCCCCGAATATAGTACCAGTATATCTTTGTGCGTGCCATTCCGGTTCCTGACCTTTCCTTCGAGTTGGGCCGAGCGGTCATTCATTGTTCTTGGGTGCGTGGCTGAAAGTAAGAATCCGTGGTGAGGATTATGCTTGTTGCGTTGATCTCTCATTCCTGAAGAATGATTATTGTTGATCCCCCCCCCTTCCAGTGCACATTGTTTTTTTCGATTGAAGTGCTCTTCCCGGGGCTCGCACCCTGTTTTTTATCAGGGAAAGTCTTGAGGGTCAAACTGTGACGTTGGCCCCCGGTTTACATCAACAACGGCTCCCGCCTGATACTTCCTATAATTTTTGAAGAATCGCGATCTCGCTTGGGACTTCCTTGCAATTTACCACCGGATCGCGGCTCCCGCTTGATATTTCCAGACAATTGATTGAAGAATCGCGCTCTCGCTTGGGATTTCTTCGCAACTTACCACCGAATCGCGGTTCCCGCCTGATACCTCCTCACAATTTATTCAGATGCCGCTCCTCGACACTCAGGAATCGCGCTCCCGCTACATATTGCCTGCTGGTTCAACCCGAAATTAACGTTTTAACGACCCGCCCGGTCGACCCGCCCGTCTGGGCCTGCCCGCCCGACCAGCCCGTTAGGGACTGCAGTCCCCGCTCGCTGCCCTGCGCCCGCCTTCTATGCCCCTCGCTGCCCGTACTGGTTCCGCGGTCGCCATCGCTCGCTGCCCTTCGTGGCCCCGTTGCTGCCCTCAGTGGCCCCGTCGCTGCCCACTGTGGCCCCGCATTATCTTCCCGTCGTGGCCCCCGCTCGCAGTCGCCCGTCGTGGCCCCATACGCATGCCCTTCGTTGCCCTGCTGTCGCCCTTCGTGGCCCTCTCGCTGCCCTTTTTGGCCCCTTTGCTGCCCTCAGTGGCCCCGCTGTTGCCCTTTGTGGCCCCATATGCGAATGCCCTTCGTGGCCCCCGCTCGTTCGCGCCCGTCGTGGCCCCATATGCATGCCGTTCGTGGCCCCGCTGTCGCTCTTCGTGGCCCCCTCTCTGCCCTTCGTGACCCCGTTTCTGCCCTCAGCGGCTCCGTCGCTGCCCCCTGCGGCCTCCTATACGTTTGCCCTTCGGGGCCCCCGCTGGTTCGCGCCTGTCGTGGCCCGCGCCAAGAACAGCTCCCGCCTGCGTTCCCGCAGGTTTTCTGGAACTGCTCGGTGGTCATCGGGGCCATTCCGAGGCCCCCCCCGGAGGTCATAGGAGGCTTTCGGGTGCCTTCCAATACCCCCGCGCCTTGTTTCCGCACAGGTCTCCGCTCGTATCCACCTGCCCCGATTTTTCAATGTTCTTTTCGAGTCTTTTCTATTATTTCCCTTTATCATCATTTTCATGTCGGTCGTACTCAATTGTGCTATTCCTCAGTTCTTCGCATTCCGCCCACTCCTCCCCCGGCCACGCCATTCCACACCAACAATCTCCACCTCTTCCCGCTCGCATCTCGCATTTCTCAGCATGTCCCAGTTTCCGTTCGGTTATTTTCGGTTCGGGGGAAATTGGTTCGGTTCAGTACGGTTCCGGTTCCGGAGCTGTTCGGGGCGGTTCCCATTTAGAGGGCTGTTCCGTTTCAGCCGGTTCAAGTTCGTTTCTCGGTTCTTGCAGATGACGTGCGAGCGTGTGCGTCTACATGATCATACGGAGCCAGACATTACGCATGGTACTTTCGACGGACCGGTCGACGGCATCGCGCCCCCTGGACCAGGGGGCTCTGGCGACGGCACGCGATGCGTCAGCGCCAGGATAGAAAACGCTTGGATTACGGTTTGGGACGGCGCAGACATTCACTCCTAGCGTGGTCATCCGTAAGGACAAGTGGGAAAGCAAGGGCGCCGCCCGCGCCCTCGCCGGGCGCGTGCAGGATGGCGGGGGCCCAGCCACGGCCGCCGTCCCCAGTTCGGCCATGGAGGCCCCGCGGGCCCCTGGAAACCCAAAGCGCATGTTCGAACCGTCCAAAGATGCGATTTGAGTTTTTCCGCCGCCCTTCCGTCCCCAGTGCGGCCCTGGAGGCTCGGAAAACCATTCGGAGGCCCAGCGCGCAGTTTCGAAACGTCAAAAAATGCGATTTGAATTTTTCCGCGGCCTCGCCGTCCCCGGAGCAGCTTTGGAGGCCCCGAAAACCAGTTGGAGGCCCAAAGCGCATTTTCAAACGCGATTTGAGTTTTTTTTTCCGCCGCCCTGCCATAGAGCAGCCTTGGAGGTTCAGAAAACCACCTGGAGGCCATGCGCGCATTCTCGAACCGCCCAAAAATGCGATTTGAGCTTTTCCGCCGCCCCTCCGTCCCCAGTCCGGCCCTGGACAAGCAGCGAAACATGACGAGGGAACTCGGGGGCGCAGGGGAGGAGTTGGGAGCGGGTGGGATGGACCTAGCGCAAGAGTGGGCGCTCGCATCGTGCAGTTCCCAAGGGTCCACCTCCACGACCAGTTCCCGGTTCGGTTCCCAGTTCGGGCCCGGCTCGGTTCCACCGCCTCCAGTTCGGTTTGGTTCACGTCGGGTTTCTGACGGGTTCCGGTTTCGTTGGTTTTCCCTCGGTCGGTTCGGTTTTGCGGTTCGCGACCCGGTACTGTGGTTCACTTATTTTTCCCAAATTATTCCCGGCCCCTCCTCCAGAGTCCTCCGTGCGCCCCGCGTTCCTCCGCACTCCTCCCGGTTCCTCTTGTCTACTCCTTGCTGCACCTTCTCCTGAGACCCTACTCATGTCCTCTCCATCCCAATCCACTCCACATCCCCGCGCTCCTTTCGACACTCTTGCAGTTCTCACTATCCTTCCGCCCCACTCTCCCAACATCCCGTTTTTTTTTTGTGTTGTTGTTTTTCCCCCCCCCCCCCCGGGTTGTACGAAATTTGTTTTTGATACCAGTTCGCAGGTGTGCGTCCCCCCGTGGGGGTATCCACGACATGTTTTCTCAAGGGGGTGGTACGCGGCGCTGTTAATGGCGTGACGCATTGCGAAACTTTTGTGTTAATTTGTGTTGGAGTGGCTTGCGCGAGCCATGGCGCAAACTGAGTCGCCATTCGCAGCGCAAATCATCGTCCTCCCTCCTTGCCCCTCCCCTCCCTTCCTCCGATCCCTTTCGTCTTCACTCTCCCCCGTTATTTGTTACCCTTCGTTTTCAGGGGTATCGCCGACCACACGTGGCAGGGAATGGAAATACCTTCCAGAAAGAGGTGCGATCGAAGACGAAGAGGGCGGGTATCCAGGGTTTGGGATAAACATGTTGAATGACGCGCGAGCAGATAAGAGCAACCGTCTTCAAAGTGGTTGTTGTTGTTTTTCACCAGTATCGGAGGTTGGGGGGTGAATCCGACGTGGAACGGTGACCCGCCGTACCGGGAAATCGATTCCGGTTTGGGGTTCGTGTCGTGCGCGCCGTGCGTGCGTGCGGGCGAGGCGGAGCTGCGTGGGCGGGCGAGAGGAAATCCTCCTGTGGTTGGGCCGCGGCCGGACCAAATGTAACTCCTCCGGCGGCGGATGCCGCGTGGTGTGCCATTGAGCGATATCGATGGTGATATGGATAGTGAGATCGATGGTGAGATCGATGTGGTGTCCCGAGGTGTCCCGTGGTGTCCCGTTGAATGAGATCGATAGTGGGATTATTCGTGAAACCGATTGTGAGATCCAGAGGTGTCCCGCGGTGTCCCGTGGTGGCCCGTGGGGGCCCGTGGTGTCCCGTTGAGTGAGATCGATCGTGATACCGAGGATGAGATCGAGATGTGCCCCGCGGTGTGTCGTGGTGTCCCGTGGTTTCCCGTTTTGGCCCGTGGTGTCCCATTGGGTAAGATCGATAGTGAAAACGATTGGGTCAGATGTTGGTTCCCCCCTCTACCCCCCCCACAACCTATCACGAAGGGTGGTCGTATAGGTATACTGTAGAGGCCTCCGGCCAGTGCCGCCGATCCGGGACGATCCCGCTGTCAGAAGGACGATTTTGCCCCAGCGCGCGTGTTCAAACGTAAGCGGTTTGGGAACAGCTTGGGGGCATTGCGTGGGCTTCTTGAAAGGCCTCTACGACGCATGTTCGAGGCCTTCTGGGGGGCGTCTTGGAGGTGATTGTTGAGCCTTTTGAGGGCCTTCTTGGGCTTCTTGGGGGGCACGCAGAAGGCATCCTACAGGCCTCCTGTGTGTGTGTGTGTGTGGGAGGTTATTGTTAATCCTTCGGAAACGCTTTTGGGCGCCTGGTGGGGGCCTCTTGAAGTCCACTTGAGGCCTCTCGGGGTTTCCTGGGGACTCCTAGGGCCATTTTGGTGCCTCGGCACCACTTGGGCTGTCTTGGGGGCCTCCCGGGCTGTTTTGTGCCCTTTTGGGGCCGGTTTGGGGCCCTCGTGAGAGCCTCTGGGCCTGTTTTGGGGGTCTCTTGGGCCGTGTTGGACACCGCGAAGGCCGAAGAAACGAACATGCAAAAAAAAAAAAAAATTTCCCCGAGGGAATGGGACATATGTTCCGTTTTTGGGCGCTCTTCGGAGATGTCGGGAGGGTACGTTGGAGGCTTTTGGAGCCGTCTGAGGAACATATTGAGCGTCTTGGAGCGATGTTTCGGCTATGCAGGGCCCTCTTGGGCCGTCTGGGCGGCCGCTGGGTTTTTTATGAACCCGCGTTCGAGCTCTCCGGGGCGAGGGGCCCGCCCGGAGTGAGCTGGAGCTCCGAATTTGCCGCCAAAATTGACTAGGGACCCCCCCCCCTTGTTACCTGCCCAGGCAGAGCCACCCGGGCACCCAACCCCCCAGCAGAGCTGAAGCTCAAGTTTTGAGGCTCAGGCTATGGCCTTTAAAACTCATGCGCCGGATCGGCGGATCTGCGCGTCCCCTTCCGGTTCCGGGCCTCTCCTTCGAGTTGGGCGGGGGGGCACCCGCTCGTGGGCGAGGCTGGCCGTGGCCAGGCACGTCCCGCGTCGCTCGTTATGCGTCGCTCTTCCTCGGGGCAGCACGATGGCGGCAGCGTCAAGTCGGGCATGTCTTGCTACAGGAGGAATCTATATATATATATATATATATGTAGACATACATGTATGTATGTATATATAGATGTTTATATCTACATATATATATATATATATATATATATATATATATATATTATGTGTATGTATGTATATATATACATATATAAGAACAGTCAAACTATAGTCCAGGGAGGATGTTTCGACTGTGTGGTTGTTGACTATTGTTGCTGTTTTGTTTGTTTTGTTCTACGTGTTCGTTTTTCCAAAATTTGTCGCTCCAAATCTGCCTGCAGGAGGACATGCCCGACCTAATGGTAGCACGATGACGGTAGCGTCATCGGCACCGCCTGGCTCACCCAGAGGAGTGCTTCGCGGATCTGGTCGACCTCGCAGGCGGGCCCTGTTCGGTGGTGGCCTTCGACTCAAGCGCCCACCTGCTCGGCGACCACTTCCGCACGGCGCAGGAGGTGCGCGCCGCACGTCTGCCCCGCCAGGGCGGCACCAACATCACGGCTGGCGTCGAGCGCGCCCTCGAGGTCGTCCGCTCGTGCGAGGAGGGGCGCCGCGGCGGCGAGCGCCCCCACCACATCTTGATCCTGCTCAGCGACGGCGCTCACATGGTCGGCCCCCGGCCTCAGGCGTCGAAGAAGACACAGCGGTAAAGCCACATACCTTCGGAGGTCCGCGCGGATTTCCTGAATCTGCGCTGGACCCCCTGGCGGCGCCTCCGGCGCCGCCCCTAGCGCGCTCCGCGTGCAAGGGATGGGGACCCAGCGCCGATCCAAGAAGTCCGCGTGGACCTCAAACATTTCTATGATTGTGTGTGCGTGCCGTTATTTTGTTTCCCTAAGGAGCGGCTGCCTGTGCTGGGGTCCCAACTGCGGGCGGCGCTGCCAGCGCTGCGGCTGTCCGTGGTGGTGGTGGGCGTTACGCGCAGTTCCGACACTTCGATGGGCATGTTGCTGAAGAGCAGCTTGGAGACCGTGATGCTGCCCGACCTCGAGCCCATATACTTCGCTGCGTCGCCCAGCGAGATGCGCGGGGTGCTCGGGCAGATGCACGCTGGCATGGCGAGCCTCCGCGGGAGCGTCGTGAGCGTCGTGGCGCCAGAGGGCCGCTCGTTCGTGCGCGCGGTGGGCGAGGCCGGCAGCAAGTCCGTGGACCTCCTCGCAGACGCTGGGGAGCAGGGGCTGCTCTGCCTCGGCGCCTCGCCTCCAGAGGAGGTCGAGGTGGACGGCGTCCGCGTGGCCTGTGCAGCCCCTCCCGCGGACGCCGCGGGCTTTGACGCAGGGCTCGCGGCCTCCGCGCTGCAGTCGCTGGTGCACGCCGTGCGTGTGCGGCGCGTGGCCGTCGGTGCCGACGGCGTGCGGACCGCGCTTCGTCAGCTGGGGTCGTGGGTCGCCGCGCTGGAGGAGCGCGCGGCCGCTTCGTGCAGCGGTGCGAGGCTGTCTTTGGCCAAGGCCACCCCCGCGGAGCGTCTCTCGCAGCACCGAGCCCTGCGCGGCGCGGTGCAGGGCGCCCGCGAGCTGCGTAACCAGCTGGTCGAGATCGAGGCGCACCGGGCGGACGACTCTGCCAGCCAGGCCACCTTCCTGAACGGGGCCAGCCGCAGGTTCGGGGCCAAGGCCCTGCTGCTCGCCGCGCGCAACA